CAGCAGGAGAGTGAATTTGTGTGGGGGGGTGGAGGGTGAGAAAACCTGGATTTGTGCTGGAAATGGCCCACCTGATGATCACTTTAGATAAGCTATTACCAGCAGGAGAGTGGGGTGGGAGGAGGTATTTTTTCATATTCTCTGTGTATAAATAAAGTCTGCTGCAGTTTCCACGGCATGCATCCGATGAAGTGAGCTGTAGCTCACGAAAGCTCATGCTCAAATAAATTGGTTAGTCTCTAAGGTGCCACAAGTACTCCTTTTCTTTTTCCGAATACAGACTAACACGGCTGTTACTCTGAAACCTGTTAAAAAACAAAGGAAACCTCCTATATTATCCTATATTTATTTTCTGATTTAGCCTGTATCTGAGTGAGGAATCAGATCACTTCTTATTTTAGCCAAGCCAATTTTCTTACCCCCTACTTTGCAGTCTCACCTGTGTCTGGAATGGATAGGGCTAATGTATAACATTATTTCTATAACTATTTCATTTCAAAAGAACTGCCTGGAGAGTCTCCAGTGTCACATGGGAACATGTTCTAGTCTGATAATTATTTACTTACACAAATACTGGACTAAATTTTCAAATATGGGTGCCTTTTAGTAACACTTGCTTTTTTGTGCGGCAACCCTTGCTATTATAAATGACAGCTGCGTGCCTCTGAAAAGTTAATTGCTCACACAACTAACCATTTTGATGGCTACCTGGAAATGAAGGTGTTAATACAACATCTATGGGCAGATTGGGTACAAAGGCAAATGTAGAGGATGTTACTTAGGTCAAATGGCTACAAATGCACAGAACTAGCCCTAGGCATTATTTGGTGCTATTTAAAATGAGACATTTGGGGCACCAGACAGCTTCCTTTCCAGTGGGCCTGTACCACTGTGGCTAGTGAGTCTGGTAAAGGCTGCCCAGGCAAGTGGAGTTCTTGTGAAATAACCAGTGCTATTATTGCTCATAATGACCAGATATTTAACCCAAGAAGGTTTTGAATGCCATAACTCTTCCACCACTGGCTCCTGGCTCATCCTTCTGGAGTGTCTCCCCTTCAGTTAGTCATGCTCGCTCTTTCAAAAGAAGCTTAGATACCACCTAAATAAACCAGCACAGATCGAGACATTGCAAATGTCATAAGAGTTATTCATATGTCTCACTATTTGTCCTACATTCGATTCAATTCATTCATGGATGATGAAGTCATTTTATCATTAAAAAAACCAAAAACCCAAACCAAACCAAACCTAACCACACTTTGGGGATCTTTGACTAGATTACTCTGGTACTGATGATCAGAGGGCGTGATTACAAGTTTATACTCCCCCTATTTCATTGCTTTTCTTTCTCTGGTCCAAATTAATTTGTGCATATTAAATGCAAAGTTCATGAGTCTTCATGCTAATTCAGGACTAATTCAAAGATAAGCATTATACATGGGTTTAGGTTGTCACAGATGTACAATTAACTTTCAAGTAATTTGGATTTTTCAGTAGGGCCTCAACCCAGTCTTCCCTGGTGCATGCACAATTTTTCATTCATGCAAATCGTGTGCACTTTGATCCACTAATAGCTGCTAATTTGCTCTAGTAGAATTGGCATGTGAAAATCACGTGTGTATACTATTGTCTGTGCTTCAAAGTTCATATACAAGTGTGCACAAAGGCAAATGTGCACATGGGTTGGTGGAGACAGCAAACTACAAATCTTTGCATTTTACTTTGAGGCAGTCTGCTAGTATAACGGTGAACACATATAAGGGCAAATTCTGCCCTCAACTGCAAACATACAGCACCCTTTAACATGCATGGGTGAAATCCTGGATGTGTTGAAGTCAATGACAATGCGTTCATCAACTTCAATTCAGCCAGGATTTTGCCCCATAGGAATTGTGTGTATGTAGCTGAAGATAGAATTTGGCCCATGCTTTCAAACTGGCGTGGAGTTTCAAAATTAAAAGTCCGTACTGGGCCATAGCTTAGCGGACTGGTTGGCTTAGAGCTTTCCTCCTGTGATATGGAGACTATTCGGTCAGATGCTCAGTGTACATTAGCATAGCACTACATTGCTAGTGAAATTCCTAGGAGAAACTTCAGTGGAGCTATGCTGATTTATACCAGCTAAGGATATGTCCCTTGTACGACTAAAGTAGACCACCACTTTACTTTATCCCAAGGCCAGGGATAACAAAAGTTATTTCTATCTGACCTCTGGAAGACACAGCACAGAGACCACAGACTTAATGTGGCTAAGACTATAACACGGATCAGAAATGAACCATTAGCCAGAATGGGCAGGGATGGTGTCCCTAGCCTCTGTTTGCCAGAAGGTGGGAATGGGTGATAGGGGATGGATCACTTGACGATTGCCTGTTCTGTTCATTCCCTCTGGGGCACCTGGCATTGGCCACTGTCAGAAGACAGGATACTGGGCTAGATGGACCTTTGGTCTGACCCAGTATGGCCATTCTTATGTACCAGAGAGACTATAGTATGTGTATTAGAGGCGGGCACACACACCAGAATTTGTTTTTGATTTTGAATGCCCCAAAGATGTATTGGGGGAGGGGGTTGGTTGTGACCCCACCTGTGAAATTTGCATCTGGATTTACCCAGATTTCAAACACTTGCAAAACTGGAGTTTGGACTTTTGATTCTGACTCATCACTGTGATTTATCTATTTTAGGTTACCTGTTACCTTCCCCTTATTTCTTCTTTGTTAACCTTAAAAATAATATATTATAAAATGAGAAACAAGGAGTATGAAAGTCAGCAGCCTGATACAAATTACTGAGATGTAAATCAGCAGGGTAAGGATGTTCAGTCATTTTCTCCCCCATCTCTGACTGCTGCTGGGTTGGCCCAAGATGTGCTGCTTGCTTTTTCAAATCACTGAAGCCAAAGATGTAAAAGACCTTTCAGGTCATCAATGCAAAATTGTCCCTACAGTGTTTCTTCTAGAATACTTGTCCAGTCTGATTTTAAAGTTTCTCTAGAAACATACAGCATTGAAATTAGAGCATAAAAGTGTGTCGGAACTGGTGAGTAAGCGGTCCTATAAAACAGTCTGTGAGAGTAAGCTCATAGCAGCTTCTGCTATGGACAGAAAAAGGGCTCTCACCCTTGAGAGCTTTCTTAAGAAAACTGACTTGCAAATGGGTGGAAAATTCAGATGATTCATCACCAGTTTTCTTTTTTTAAAAGCACAGTGGTCAGTAAAAAAAAGTTTTTATGTGAGACAAATTATGATGACCAGGTGGAAGAAAACTATATTTTAAATGCCTCATCCATAAGGCTTCATTTGTATTAGAAAAGGCCCATCTTTCCAATGTGTTAAGAATGAACGATCATGCCCCAAATGATCATGAGATTGGCTACAAATCATGCAATTTTAAAAGTAATACAGTTGGGGTTGTTTTTATTTGCCTCTCGGTTTCTGAACCTTTGCGGTTCATGTTTCCAAGTTTTGTTCCACAACTACAAAGGCTTGAAACTTACTTAAAACAAACAAACAAACAAACAAATAAAAGCTGATATTCTGACTCCAGGCACTGGGTCCTGGAAAAACATGAAATATTGCAGAACTCACAATAAAATTGCAAGAGCTGGCAATACAGTTGCGCTATGCATAAGGCCTTGGATACTGATTATTTGGTTACGTTAACACGAAAATGAAGGTACTGATTACAAGGGAGTGAGAGCTGGATGTACTCGCAGAACAATGACATACATGAAAGACTCATGTGCTGGGGTCATAAGGAAAAGGACAAATCCGCCACACAATTACAGCCAGTGGATTGCATTAGCCTTGTCAGAAGTACATGGCCATTAGGATCAATTTTTTCAAAAGGCAGAGATTTGGGTCCTTAGCTAAGAAACATGTGCAAAGCTCATGTGATTATTGCCAATGTGACCATCAGAGGCGGTGTGTGCATAAATAGCTAGTGAGGCACCTAGGGAGAAATTACCCCTGTGCATCACTTAGGCGTCGTTTACACTTAAAGGTGTTGGCAGTTTAGCTATGCTGGTATAGTTAAACCAGCAGAGACATCCTAGTGTAGACACAATTATATTGGTATAAAAGTACTTCTACCAACATAGCTTCTCTGGTTTCCCTGAACAGACATAAGCTATGCAGATACAAGCACTTTTATACCAATATAACTGCATCTAGGGCTTAATAGCAATGTCAGCAAAAGAAATCACACACCCCTAATCAACATAACCAGGTGGTAAAACTTCTAAAAGTGTAGACCAAGCTTCACAGCCCCTTTCTCAGGGCTTACATGGTGAAGGGGGCACTACATGGGCCCGGTGCAGAGAGCACTGTCTGGGTGCTGTGCACAGTGATGTAGTTCACCCAAGCAGCAATTTGTTCATACATTTACCTGCTTTGCATGTGCACTTACAGTAACTGCAGGCATGGCCATGCACACAGATTTTTATCATGCCTTTTATAAATTTGGCCTTTGGGGAAATATTTCAGTTAAAAATAGTAAAGATTTTGATTTAATTAAAATAATCTTTGCACAAGCAACCTAGCAGCCCCTCTGCATATAATGAGCTATTAGGGAGGAGGAAAACTTTTGATATATTTTAACATTATGTTTACACGCTTTACACGCTGACATGTGGTACAGTCTAGTGGATCGCACAGAGAACTGGGAATTAGCACTCCTTGTTCTATTTTCACTTTTGCCAGTGACTTCCTGTATGAGCTTGGGCAAGTCACGTAACCACTGTGTGTCTCAGTTTACCAATCTGTGTCATGCAGACAATAACACTCACCTGCCTCCCTAGCTAGTAGTGTAAGGCATAATTCATTAGTGTGTCTCTCCCTAGAGTGAAAGGTGTCCCAGACGTGACAAGTACTGTGGTTATCCCTTTAATTTGAAAGTTCTGTGCGAATTGAGCAAGTAAAAGTAAATATATGGCCTATTTTGGCAAGTGTCTTCCAGCAGATGGACATCTAATGATGTTCCTATGGTCTTCTTTATAGGAGCTGTCTGCTGCCCGTGATTCAGACTGTCTATGGAATGCAATGAGTGTAAAGTAAGTGGACAACAAGTCTGGGAATGGACTTTATTGTGGTTTAGAAGCTTTCAGTTCCCAAATGCATGAACACATTCCTTTTTCAAGTTATTGTTTTCCAGGATTTCAAAATTACAATCGAAAGTTGTTTCATGCCATCTGGAAGCTGACTCCTTGGTGCTGATAATCGTCATCTGGTTTAGTCTCCAAACAAGCTTGTCTTCCACCAGCAAGTAGATGGGATTTTTTCTTGTCTTGGTGCACCAGTTGTCTGAGAGGCCCTACCCACAAACACAGTGAGCGTATATATACCCCTACGTGACTATCCGTTCTCCACAGTCTGCGTGCTCTCTTAATGGACTTTGCATGTTCTTCTGAACAGGAAATGCTTTGTCAGAAACTTGCCTGTGGGCATTGTGCTGCACCAATTAAAGATTCCTGAACTCAAGAACAAAGGGATGCTAGTGGAACTATGCTTTTAATCACTTGGTTCATTTTTTTCCTTCCTCCACAGCTGATTTTGGATGTATGGCGTGTTTTTTGTTTGTTGTTTTATTTTGGTTTGGTTTTTTTGGATAGCTACTCAGGAATGCTGCTAGGGAAACATCTTCATTTTTACATATGCAGAGAGGATGTCAGGCTACTTATGCAAAGGTTACTTGAATACAATAAAAATATTTACTATTTTTAATTGTAATATTGCCTTGAGTGCCAAAAATGTTTAGAATTGGAGTTCCTGGGGTTCGTACACATGTGAAAAAATGCTTGGGCTTTTGTGGTCTTGCTTTGTTTCAAGAGGCCTGTGAAAAATCAGGTGTGAGCCAACCATGACAATAATAATACCTGGCACTTAGCCAAGTAAATGCCACCTTTTCCCCAAGGATTCTTGTGCATTTTACTAACATGCGTCAACTTGGCCTCCCAACACCTCCTGTGAGGTAGGATAACTATTAGGATACATTTTTACATAAGGGTACACCAAAGCCCAGAGTGGTTAGGTGACTTGACTTTTTCATGTCCCTGGCAGAGTTGAGAATAGAATGCAGGAGTCCTGCCTCCCATTGTTATGTTCTTTCCACCTCTTTTTAATAGATATTAAGCTCTTGAAGGCAGGGACCATCTTTCTGCTCTGAATAAGCAGAATAAGTAATAATAATAATAATTAGTAAAATATATGGGGTGCAGTGGAACCAAAACATAGAATAGTGACCTCAACTGAGACCAAGTGGATAATGCTCAGTAGTAAGAGCTATAGGACCAGCATCAGATTGGCTAATGCATAGACTTGCTTTAATCCAGGTGAAATTGTTTGGAGAATGTACAGGCTCTACTCGGAGTCCACTGAATCTGTGACCACACCTTCTATGAAAAGTAGTTCTAATCATAAACAGAAAGTGGCTTTTTTGATGCAAATGTTTTCTCTACTCAAACCACAGCCCTACAAAATACAAATTCACTACCTTCTATAATGCGAGAAAACAGAAAGAGAAAAAGGCATTTTTCTCCCTCAACTATAGGCTCCTTTGTGATTTTGCCCAACACTCATAGGTGGAAAAAGAGAGAGCTAAAACCAAACTGTAACGTAAGCATAGGAGACCATGTTCTGTGCAGCCTGAAGTTGAAAGAAACAGTGTGACTCACAGAGATAGCTTCACTGAATCCAGTCAAAGGGCTAGATCCTTGGCCCCAGGTAAGTTTTCTGTGCTACTGCAGTAGCGTGAAGGGGACTTTAAGCTGCCTTAATCATGCAGCTAAGGTTCCCCTTGTGCGGGGGAATCCCCAGCTGACATAAAGCTGACATCGCTGGCTTTAGGCCACGTGCTCCTTTACCCGCAGCAGAGGGGGCTGGAGAGGGCAGAGCTGGAGCTCAGTGAGCTGTGATAATTCTGGCCCACAAGAAAGGTCCAATGAAGACTGCTCCAGCTGGAATAAATCAGAGCAGCCCTGTGCCCTGCAACTAACTGCAAGTCCTTCCTCTTCTTTCCTCCCATATAGATATAATCCTCACCTTCCCTAAATACTGCTTCTTGCCCTGAAACACAGCCAGGGCCTTGCACAGGAGCACAGCAGGCCCAAGCCTGCATTGGAGAAGTGCAAGAAGCCTCCCCATTTGCCCCGCCATCGGTGAGTCCTGATGCTCTGAACGTACAAAATGTCTGGGGTCAGATGCAGCCACAGTATGGGCTGGCACCACGGTTGCAGTCCCGTCCAGTGGGTGGTACAGCGGCTGCACTATGCGGGTGCTCCAGGAAGCACTGTGTTTTCTTGAGATACGCTCCCTCCCACAGCATCTCCCGAAGGAGGGCTGCTTTGCATTGGGCGCCCAGTGGAAGCCTGTGGCTAACGGTACAACCTGGTTCATTATTAGTAAGAGAGAAAACAAGAGATGCACACACACTTCAACTGCTGGACGAGTCCTGGGGACCCTGTAAGGCCTGGTAACTTTCTCAGAGTGGGCGGAAGCATGCAATAGAATAATTTCCTAAGCATCTGGTGACACTTTTGTGTCATGCTGAACAAAGATAAGTAGAATCATCCTGAAGTGTCAATAATCAGAATAAAAATCTCATTTGGGCGACAATTACTGTGGTGTGTGGCAGAACCCACAGAGAGTAATATCCTGGTCTTAGTGAAGGTGAGTGAAAGTCCTAGGTCATTTATATGTATCACAAGGTGCAGGTTGCAATTTCAGTTCTACTGAAACATCCGTTTCAAGTGCAGTTTTTCTGTGAAGTAACTTTGCTATAAAAGGGCTCCACGGAACTGCAAGTCTGATGAACTGCGGGAGTTGTGCCTACCGCCTTCCTTCCCACTGCTCTTCTAATTACTGACACACTGAAAATAATTCAGCTATATTGCAGCAGAGAGGCTATTTTGTGGTTTTGAGATGTGGTTAGATAGTTGCCATCTGAATGACAAACATATTTCTTTGTGAAGTAAAAAAACATGTAACTTACGTATTCTCAGGCTGGAAAATCAATACCACTTTGGAGAGCAGCTACATATTTATTTACTTATTTAAGGCCAGATTCTACCACCTTTATTTACTCCCACTGAGTCTGTCTAAGGTAGTTTTGTGGCCACTATTTCTGTAGTATCTGAGTGCCTCACAATCATCAACATATTGATGTCAGTACCCCCTCACCAGGGTATTGTGATTTTTCCATTTTACAGATGGAGAATTGAAGCACACAGAGGCTAAATGACTTGCCCAAGGTCACACAGGAGCTCTGTGCAATTGCAGGTACTTGAATCTTTGTAGGCTAGTTCCCTAGCAACTGTGCCTTCCTTTTTGTACCCTAGATTTAGAGACTTCTGTGCCTAGTGGCACATGGGGCAATCCACTTTGCCCACTGCTGTCTATCCAGAGCAAGATGTTTGATTCCACTGGAAGTTGTCTCTGTGATGGCAGCATCCTTTTCAATTATCCTGCGCTAGGTCATTCTTTGTCCTCCCCACCTTCTCTTTCTTCCAGGTGGAATCCAATCTAAGATGTATCTTGTGCTTCTAACACAGAGTAGCATGGGGGAAATGGTTGAAACAGGTCCAAATCTGAACCCTGGATAAAATCTCCCTGAAGAGCTGGACAGACTTAATTCAGACAACATCCAACTCAAGTTATCTCCATCTGTTTTCCATTTCCAAACAGAACCTAAACTGCTGGATAGCTTTGTTCTATGCTCCCTTTAAATAATGTTATGGAAGGACAAGAAGTTTGGTGGTTCTGTCAGCCCTTGCCTGTGAGACTAAGGAAGCTGAGAAGAAGATGGAAGTGAATGGCAGTGGATTGGAAAGGTAGTTAGTGGAAGTGTAACACCGACAAAACCCGGTTGCCAGTGGGTGGGATCGAACCTGGGACCTCTGAAGCTTAGTGCCTGAGCCTCTAGTGCATGAGCTAAAAACCAACTGGCTGTTAGCTAAGGCTGTAGGGCAGACTCATTTAATTCTCTCCTTAAGTGGACTCAGTGCCACTAGATGAGACAGAACACCACACCCAGAAGGTGTGTGGGTTACACAAGCCAGCTGACCTCTTGTTGTAAGGTGGCACACACAAGTGGAACTATCATAGGAAGGCATCACTGATGAGTATGTGTAGCATTTGGGCACAGGAAGTGGCAATATTGTTTGGAGGTGGAACAAGAATCATATTTTAAAAGTAAGATGAAAAGGAAGGGCTACGTGGATTGCTCTAATAGTATGTGTCAGCGGCAGGGGTCCTTGGAGCCGAGAGTGCACTGGGCAAAGAAAGAGTCATGATCTCAAAAAGAAGAAAAGCTGCTTTTTAGCTGCAGAGATGGGAGGAGAATTACTACAGGAAGACAACATAACGGACCTGGCAGCAGAAACACAATAAGAGGGCCAGAAGAAAAAAAGAGAAATAATATTAATAATAATAATAATTGTACCCTGTATTTCTCTGGTTGCTTCCAAGATTGTTCAAACATTAATGAACACTATAGCCCTGTGTGGCAGTAGTTGTTATCTCCCATTGAACAGATGAGGAACCGATGGGGCAGGATTTGCCCAAGGTCACACAGGAACTTCATGTCAGAGCTGAGAATAGATTCTTAGTTCCCTGAATTGCAAGACTTTGCATTAACCACAAGAGCAAGGGACTTGGAGACAGAGAGGAGAGGGAAGGATGCAACTGTAATACAAAAAAAACCCCAAACCAAACCAAAAACCCCACCAATCCTGGCGTGTCAGCAGAAATCTAGAGAGAGAAGAACAGGATGAAGGACTAGAAGGAGAAAGATGGGGAAGGGGAAGAAAAGAGAAGGGAAGCAAGAAACACCAAAACAACCATGGTCTTAGTAGTAACTATGCAGAAGTAGTCAGCTATAGCACAATACAACCATCCAGCTGGTTAAACCTAACCATGGGAAGGGAGAGACAAGGTGGGTGAGGTCATATCTTTTATTGGACCCAACTTCTCTTGGTGAAAGAGATAAGCTTTGGAGCTACACAGAGCTCTTCTTCAGGTCTGGGAAAGGTACTCAGAGTATCACAACTAAATACAAGGTGGAACTAGCCATGGGAATGATCATCTAAGCATCTACCTGATAAGTATCACAGCAAGATTAATCACCTCTTATAATCTCAGGAGATCGATTCAGCCAGAGGGACTTGTCAAACTTCCATAATTGTATTGATCTGGGTTTCTTTTAATACTATAAAGTGCAAAAATAAATTTTCTAGTTAGCAAAATGTGGTTTTTGTTATATTCTGAATCACTTTTCCCCATGGAAAAGCAAAGTGGTTTTCAAGACCTGAACATTTTGGAATCATGTGTTTTGCAAAGTAAAGCATAACTACCCCAAGGGCTCCTTCTTAATAAAGTAAACATGTAGGGAAGGGAAATACTAGTGTGAATAGTTCCCCATAGTCCATCTTGGGCATAATACCTTATAATTAATCTGAGAATTCTGAAAATTCAGATGATTGAGAGCTGACCTCTAGTTTTGACCTACAATGTGCAATATCATGATAATTTGTGCATACTTAATATTTCCATTCCATGGATGGATGTGGCCTCTAGCCTAAAAAATAGCTGAAAGAACCCTCTGAATAAGAATACAGTTTATGCTAAGGATTTTAAGGGCTCCAATGAGCTATTATGATTTAAACAGGTAAATAAAATGTGTCCAAATGTCAGACCAAAGCAGCTCTTTTACCCTGTTGTGTCACTTGCAAAATTTCTCCATAGAAAAGGGTTCTGTTCTGTAGTCCTGACTCAGACACAACTCCCACAAACAACTAACTTTGAGCAATATTGTATGCTCAGGGGGCATGCAATTTTTTTCATGCTTTTCCGAGACAAAGGCACCTATTGTGAATGTAGGCACTAATATCCCATAGAGTTCAGTGGAACGTTAGTATACAGACCAGCAGCCAACCTGATGACAAAGATGTTCAAACAGAAGCCTGGAATTTCATTCCCAACTCACTGCCAGTCTTTCACTTGCACCCCCTGTTTTATAACACATGCTTTGAGGTACACTGTGCACCATTCTGATGCACTCATGGTATAGTTGGGCATTACAGACGTGATCCAAAGCCCACTGAAGTCTTTCTTTTAACTTCAGTGGGTTCTGGAACAGGCCCAAAGTTCATCAGACTTAACTTTGAATTTCTTTATTTTTTCATTTGTATTGCAACCATGAGATTTTTTTGTGTGTGTCCAATATTTATAGAAAGGAGGAAGAATCTCTGATGCCCTAATATTAAAAGAATGTTAAGACACAGTGGCCACTTCTATTACAGAGAAAAATTACCTCGCGCTGTTATAATGCTGCTTTCGCTGAGCAGTCCCTGGCTTTTGCTTACTTTATTTATTTCAGGTCCAAAAAATTCTCTCTGCAGACAAAGATCATTTTATATTTGTAAGAACTGCCCCAGAATGATTGCTGTAATGGGGCCAAGATGACATCAACTGCTATGGCTGAATGAAGAAGCTCAAACATTTCAAATACAGACTACATTAAGAAGGAAAAAAGTGTGTCTGTGAGGGGTGGGGAATAGAAACCTGTTCTGCCCGCAGCAAGCAGCCATGATGATCATATCAGATAAATGTGTCCTCAAATACTCAGTACCTCTAGGTTCACAGAGGAAAACTGACAGGGCTAGAATTTCAAAATCTATACCTGTATAACGGTGCATGAAAGATCACTAAGTATTGTTTGCCTAATTTATACGTCAATTGTCAGAATTGCACGTGCACACGCATGGGACCAAAATTAGCAATTTGCACAGGTAATACTTGGATTGTGAGTGCAGTCACAGTAACAGCACATGAAAATTAGGTGTGCATTTTACATACACAATTACACAATCCAGCCCACTCCACTTATATGCAGCATTCTAATCAAGGGCTTGTGCTCCCATGGAAGTAAACATGGGTTTTGCTACTAACTTTAATAGGAACAGGATCTAGCCCCCAAGCCTTAGCTTTATATTTTTTGCCTGCTATGAAATAGTACTAATGTTTAACAAAACAACCAATCAACCCGTTTGCCAATAACTCTTATCTACCTAAGGATAAGCAGGATATATTCAAACAAGGCTTTACTTTTGCTTTTATTCACTGCTAACAGCTAAATCTACTGGGCTCACAACAAAGAAATGACATTGTTTTACTAATCAATGTACTACTGTTCATCTAGAACATCTGCAATAGTTTTGCCTGCAGCACTACCCCATTCATTATGTATCTTCATGGACTGTTCAATTAGGCTTTTTAAAAATGTATTTATTAAATGTATAAAAGGGTTTTACATTGTGGAATTTGCATTGATATAAATAATTTTAAAAAAAAACCACTTTTTGTCGGTTTCTCCATTTTCAACTAACGTTTGGCAAGTGGAAAAAAAATTAGAAACAGTTTAAAACCTGACAGCTCACCCCGTGACTTAAAGACAGAGGTTTTCTATGGACTGTGGAAATGCTTCATTTTTTTGTGTTGCTATCTACCAAAAATGCAGCTGATGAAAGGCTCTTACATTAAGAAAATATAAAACTTTACAAGGGATGGGTTCTCACCCTGTCAAGAAGGAGGCCACATTATTTTTGTACAGAGGACCAGATGGAATTATATGTAATAAAAAGACAGTGCTGCTTACCATCATCCAGATATGCCTGGTCCAGGTTCTGTTCCTGTTTAATAGTGACTCCGGCTGGTAACACTTCTTTCTGATCACTAACGGGTGGTCCATTTTTTGCTGCTCTCGGGCTTGTGGCTGTCTGCTGCTGAATCACGGTAGGATATGAACTTGGACTTATCCTTTGTGCTTGACTGACCTGAGGCTGGCTGGGTCTTGCTACATTAGAGGTAAAATTTTCACAGCACATGATATGCTGGAATTCTTGATGACTTCCACACCTCAGCTGCTGATTGGTTGGAGAATAGTGTATCACGGGAGAAGATTGTTGACTGCTTGGAGAGTGGTGGAGCACAGCTGAGGTTTGGCCTGGGGAACCAGCATGTACCAGCACTGACCTGTGTGCATCTGAAATGGAAACCTGTGTGGCCATCAAACTGGATTGCTGGTAGCCTAGTTGGCTAGGACTGAGACTTTTGCTTCTTTGGTATATTACAGCTGCTGGATTCTGTTGATGATATCGAGAATCAGTAGAAGATAGGCCTGAACGCAACTGCTGGCAGGAAGCCATAGTGGCCACAAGACAGGAAGGGGATTCGGTGACCATTGTGTGCTGTGAATAGTAAGGCTGTGTTACTGTTCCCAGACCACTGTGTACTGTATTGCAGATTAAAGCTGGATCATAGTCATCAATGGGCTCTGTTTTGATTGATGGTACTAGAATAAAGCATGCAAAGGACATTATTCTTAACGAGCAACTGAGACACAACGATTTTTTTCCCCTGGCACTAAGAAGAGACCTAAATCATTGTGAGAGTGTGTGTGGGTGAGTGCACTCTCCACAAGGGCACTACAGGTAGTAAATTGCTTGAGTGCAATCATGGGAGAATCTCTCGTGAAAGCACTTAGCGTTAGGATGGACAAAAACTTTACCCAAAACTTAAACCTCATATTTCTCAAGGTTCAAACATTCAGATGAGCTTATTATTTTTATTGCTGTGATTTTAATTCATTTTTGTCTCAGTTCTGCAATTTCTAGTTCTAGGTGAAACCCAAAGCAAAACTACAAAGAAACCAGGAGAGAGGCATTCCTCATAGCACTTCTGGCCCCAATGGAAAACGGAATTAATAGACAGTTTCTGAGACGTGCTGATATCGCAAGATTTGCAGCCCTGTTTTCCAGTCCAAGAGATTAATTAGAGATCCAAAGGAACAGACTAGGCTTGACCATTTTTTAACGCTGTCTTCGAGACCCAATCTTTTTGCATAAGTCTTCCCCAGTAACAACGGCCGACATCATCAATAAAAGGAGAATAAACTCCCATTTGTAAAAGTCGACTGAATCTTAATGTTGTGGGAAAAGAAGGGTTTTTTGCAGGCAAATAATGCAATTTTTACTTCTTGTAACCATCCCTACATCTTAATGCCCTGAATCTTAGTGCAGATAAGATTCCGGGCATACCAGGCAGACTGGACAACAGTTATATAGACAGTAAAAACAACAAGGAGTCCTTGTGGCACCTTAGAGACTAAGAAATTTATTTGGGCATAAGCTTTTGTGGGCTATAACCCATTTCATCAGATGCACGGAGTGGAAAATACAGTAGGCAGGTATAAAAATACAGCACATGAAAAGATGGGAGTTGCCTACCAAGTGGGGGGTCAATACTAACGAGGCCAATTCAATTAGGGTGGATGTAGCCCATTCCCAACAGTTGACGAGAAGTATCAACGGAGGGAAAATTATTTTATATTCTATTATATAAATTATATTTATACCTGCTTACTGTATTTCTCACTCCATGCATCTGATGAAGTGGGTTATAGCCCACGAAAGCTTATGCCCAAAAAAATGTGCTAGTCTCTAAGGTGCCACAAGGACTCCTCATTGTTTTTACTGATACAGACGAACACGGATACCCCTCTGAAACCTGTAGACAGATAAATTTCTAATGGAATCTTATAGCTTTTTTTTAAAGTTTACATTTTGAGGCTCCTTTTGAAATAACAGCGTATTTACAAATGTAATTTCACAGTGCAACAATTTAGTGGCCATCAAAAGCCTTAACTCTCTCTAACTGTGAATCAGATAGAGCAGTGAAGCATTTTCCACTAGGGACTGGTGAAGTGCTTTGTACTAAGTAAGAACTGATCAGGATGTTTCCCCATCCTTAGAAATTAGTGGCACTGAGATATTAGTTCAAAGCTTGAAAAATCCAGTCAGGTTATTTCGTGCTTTCTGGTTTCCACTGAGAAAATCAGCCAAAACTAGGAAGTGCTGGGAATTTCATGAGTAATCCTGTTTCACTTCTTGCTCACCAATTCCCCAGGGAAAGAGTTTGAGAAACATCAAAACTTTTTTTTCATATCTAAACTGGCCCTCCATTAAAGAATATGTCCCACTCTTCTCCTTCCCTACTCTAGTACTCCTTTCCCCGGGTCTGATGTTAACTTACTGTGGTATATGTCAACTAGGGAAGGCAATATTCATTGTTTTCACAGGGTCAGAGCACATAAGTGTCTGATCCTGCTCTCACTGAAATCATTTGCGAACTCCTATTGTCATAAATGGGGCACGATCAGCCCATTGCCTGGATATCTGATGTAAAGCCCCCTTACATACATATATGTATATATAAAAAAATCCTCCTCCAAAATTACACGCAACCTTTAAACCAAATAACAACTGGTGATCTGGCAGTAACTCTGCATTAAATTAGAAAAATTCAGATGCTTAATGACAAGAGAATGAGGTATCAGACTACAAAGCCTGCCCTATGAGATATTGTAGCCCAATCTGCCCTCTGCATAAAGAATTACCTGGGTGATAGGTAAAATGTTGTGGCTGACTTCTTTTTCTTTTTCCATTGATGACATAGAAATTCACCTTCACCGGTGTACGGATGTGTTTGTTCCTATACTCTGGTATCTCTACAAAAAGCATGCTCTGAAACAATGAAAGGAGACAATATCCTATTAGAAACTGAAGTCCAATGATCAACAGGCTCTCAGGTAACTACCCCATGGAGTACATATCCTTGGAGGAAGGAAAAGGAATTTTCTTGTTCCCCTCTGAAAAGGAGGATGTGGGGAAGGAAGGGACAGGTGGGTTAGGACTGGAAGATTTCTGATATCGGGAAACTGGTTTTTAAATGTCACATCCTCTGTGGCTTCTGTTGCTGATGTCCTGATGTTGAAGACAGAAGTCTCAGCTAAATACAGAACACACAGAATACTGATTAATGCTCTAGTGCTTTGACTACTCCAATGCACTTGATAAACATGAAATGTAATTATTCAAAATGTGTATTTATTACTTTTTTACAATCTGATCCCACTGATCCAACTTCCATTGCAACAGTGCCATTCACTTCCTTAGGAGCAGATAAGGCCCATTCCACTATAAGGGCTGGAACCTAGAAGGCGCTGATGTTGCACTGTAAGGTTCCACCTCAATAGGCATCAAGGCTGCTCAGCACCTTGCAGAATCAGGCCCTAAATGTAAATAAAGCAACGCAAACAAAGGGTCCCAGCCTGCAAAGCTCCGACCAGCCTGGATTCCCACTGAAGTCAATGGAAGTTGGAGGTGCTCAGCACCTTGCAGAAGATATTCTCAGCATATAGCTGAAAAGCAGGGAGTAAAGGACATACATTATTTTGTATACTTACAGGTTGGCTCTTATCTTTATCCACCGTTGCCTCCATCTCCCAGATCTGCTGACCATCTAAAAGTAATATTACACTATTAACTTATTGAAAAATATTATCAGAAACCTGACTTAAATAAAGTCAAATCAGTCATTAAGGCTCAGATTTAGTAGAGCACTTAAGCACATGCTTAGTTCCAGCTGAAGTCAATGGGATTTAAATATAAGCATGTACTTGAGTACTTTCCCGAACAGAAAAAGATTTATGCACATGCTTAAAGTTAAGCACACACTTAAGAGCTTTGCTGAATTGAGGCCCAGCTGATGCTTTATATGTAAATATTAGGAATGTTCAATACACATGAAACATCTGCTTTTCAGCAAGACTCTGACTTCAGTCAGCAGGACTGACTGAGGGTACAAGGAGGTCAAATGATTTGACCAGAGTCATAGTGTGAGTCAGTGGCTCAGCAGAACCCGGTTGAATCTTCATTGTTTGTTTTAACCACAAGACCATGCAAGTCTTCATTTTCTTTAATAACATTCATGTTACTGACTGGAGGATTGGTTTTTGGTAAAAAACTATTATTTTTTGAAATATAAGTCCTAATTTTTCACCTTATTTTGGGTGTCACTGGTTTTAAGTGCCCAAATTGAGACACCTGGGGCTTTGATTTTCAGAGATGCTGAGCACCCAGAGCTCTCACTGAAATCACCTGGTAGTGCGAGTGCTCCACACCTCTGAAAATCAAAGCCCCAGCTTTCTTTAGTAGTAATTTATAGGGTCAAATTGTCACTGCAGTTTTTTTTAAACAGGAAAAAAGATATTACCCAAAGTGAAGGGAAAGAGGGAACATTGTTATTATTATTAGAAGACGACTCATCCATTTGTTTGATTTTATTCTACCCAAGCTTTTTAAGAACCATAATTGGGAAGACAGTTACAAAGTGTCTGATTTCTTTGTGCTATTTGTGTCCTCTTCCTGTTTCGTAGGGGTTTCTGTTATGTACAACATGAAGCCTAAATTTACATGATAGCTATCTATCAACCCATCTACTCTAGCAAGTAATAAAAATTCTAGAGCTAGATAGGCACCTTCAGTATGTCTTTACTCCAAACTTCTAACAACTCCCATAGACATTCACTGTCTGGCTTATCCAACTATAGTGGATTGAGGATTTACTGTATATGCTCTAATTAGCAATAAATCGATCACATCCATGATGATGGCCACTGAAGCACAGAATCTCTTTCTGCTGCCTGTTACACTCATGCACTTCCAGTGAGTTTCATGGAATTACACGGATATAACTGAGAGCAGAATTTGGCCCACAGTAATTCAATCTGTTTTCTTTCTGTTGCTTACTAGTATTATCAGTTGCATAGTCCAAAGTCTCTTAGCAACCCAAGGCTAACAATATTAGGTAATTCATATACCCTGAATAATTTTTCATTTAAGGGCTGTTCAAAGAAATATACAAAATATGTCCTGTGAAGTGCCTAGCAGTTACTTCTGAGACTGCCCGAGGGCTTTGGGGTCATTGCATATTTAGTCTCTATGAGGTGCAATGTCACTTTGATTGTGTTACACATATTTTTTACATATCCGTCTAAAACAGATTATACATACAATGCTCTGCCACTGCATTCTATGGACTGTAGCTGCATCAGCCTGGGACATTTCTCACAACAGTACGTGGGTGTCCGTTAACACCAATTTAGCTCACTGGCTGCTACTGTAAAACTCTGTGTACTCTGCACATTGATAAAATGGCATCCCAGGTTTTGTGTGTGAAATGTAAACTGTTGGACTGAAATTAAATTTTGCAGAAGCAGAAATAAATGTCTCCTTGGAACCTTCATGATTGGACCATATGTTGTGTACGATGCCTACATAAATCTACCCGCCTTATTATCTTTATTAGTTGTACTGCTTGCATGCTTCTGAGCCACCTCTTATGCACATAAAACCTACCTACTAAGAGCAATTTAGTTATCTTACTCAGAGACCAGTTTACTGTAGTATATACTCTACATATGCTGTAGGGCATTTACTTGAATGCACTAAAGCATGTTTAGAGCATGTGACAATAACAAAAAGTTTTATATTAGTAGAATTAAATTGGTAAAGGTTAAAAAACTATAGGTATCCAGTTGTGCACCCAATTACCATGTGTACACATGCCAGGCAAGCTATTGCATGTACAAATGGTCAATGCAGGGGTTTTGCACATGCATTTTTAATACTAGTGCACAAATTAGAGGCTCAATCTAGCCAGGAATATTTCTTCATTGACCCAAAAAATAATTTGGAAGCTGCTTTTTTTTTTTAAAGACTTTGAGCCCTGCCTCTAACATTGTCAGTACATTGCATTGAGTTTTCAGTTAGGTGATTTACTTTAAAAATTTTGATGGAGTGTAAAAACTCCTAATAGCTCTCTGAAAATTTGGTTAATATGAATTATGGGAATTGTGCATCCAAATCACTGAGCCAGCACCCAAAACTCTTTCAACAGTTCAGCCACTAGCTGAGTGTTTGTGCTAGAGGTGGGGGAATCTTCAAAGGTGAGGTTCTGTTGGAAGGTTTCCCTGAAGCTTATACATATGCTTTGGGTCTACAGAACTGGGGTGGAAATCGAATGAAAACTGCTTCTCTCAAGACTTCTTATTTTTCCTGATGCCTGGAAATTCTGCAAGAGCAGCCTCTCTCTTGTCTTATATTGGGACTTCTGCTTCTTGTCCAAACGGAAGCAAAGAACGCAGGAAAATTAATTGTGAGGATTTTTGTGTTTTATTTAATGCACTTTGCACCTTTTATGCTCCTTGTTTTCTCTATATATTCCACTCCCTGTGGCTAATGAGAACTGACATGACAGTTCCACTTGGATGTCTAGTCCGTTTCCTCCCTGCAGCCCATAAGCAGAGGCTAATTCCAACTCTAGGAGACATACCTGTGCTTAAGCTTAGCCAGGGTGGTGAGGGGCTAGCTGCCCTGAGTATGTACCCATCCAAGATGCTAGGTGTGTACTCAGGACAACTAGCCGCTCCCACGATTTGTGTTGCTGCTGGTACCCTTGTAATTTTGGTGCATGAGATGGATCAGATCTAAAGTAGGTATATCTCCTCCTGCTGGACTTTACACCTTCCAGCTTGAAGTGTAGACATACCCTAAGTAATAATAACAACAACATGCCATATTCATGCCAGTGTAACCCCATCGGCTGCCATCAGGGATGAATTTGGCCCAGTATGTGGCTCTTCTATAATGCCTTTCATCCAATGATCTCAAAGCACTTATCCAACAATAAATAATTAAGTCAGCACCCCTATGAGGTAGATAAGCGGCACCCACTGCTGAAATGCAGCCACCTCTGGGCTGGAATATGGCTGCTGTTTAACAGTGTGCAGCATCACTACACACTGGAGAGCAGAAAGTGAAGAATATTCAATCCAGTTGAAGGTCCAAGGGGATTTGTAGCCCAGATGGAATTACTGGAGTTGGCGTAATCTAACTGCTACTACTACTACTGAATTACTACCCAGGCGAGGCTCTGATTCAAACAGCCTCTCAAGGGGGAGAAGGAATCCCCCTTACATCCATTCTAAGGGCTAGCTGGAGCTGGGTGCACAGGCATAAGTGGGGGCCACTCACCCACTTACTCCCTCCCTGCAGCGGAGAGAGCTTTCAAATGGCTGGAGACTTGGTTCCACCCACCGTGCTCACTGAACAGAGTAGATGAGCCAATGCAAGGAGTCTGTAGCAGTTTACTACTGTGACAAGTGAGCAGTAAATCACTCTCCCCTCTCTTCTTTCCCCCAACAAGGCAGCGTCAGGGGAGGAATTATGACTCAACATGTCTCTGAGTCACAGTCCCTCCTTTGGGACTACTTCTGAAGTTGTATAGTTTATGCACGGCCCGGAACTGTGCCTAAAGGCACAATCTACCCCTTTGTCTAAAATCTGGAGGCACAGATTTTTCAGAACTGCACTCTCTGTCACCAAGAGACTCTGGACAATCATAGCACTGGCATGCAAAAATGCCCAGTTAGATACTCTATTACTTGCATGTGCAATCAAACACAAATGCCTACACAACCATTGCAGTGCAAACTGGGACTGCAGATATGCGTAGGTTATGAAAATCTGGGGCTAGGTGTCAACATTTTCTCATTTATTGTCATCTTTAACACCCTCTCAGATACTTTTTCTTTGTTACTATACAGGAAGAAAATGCTCGATAATTTCCTTTTAGTACTGAACAGTTCAGTTCCTCCAAAGTGAGCCCGTTGTCTCTTCTATATATATTTATAGCATGTAATGGATTTCCAGAGTGCAGACAGCATAAGCAGGCTGTAATTAGAGTCTGCAAGCCTCTCACCCGATTTGCTGCTTAGCCCTAACATCCCAGAGGACCACTGTGTAAATTAATGGAGAGGATTCCAGAATTTTAATAATAAGCATTTATTTTGGCCACTGCTGTGGACTGTCACAGGTTACAGCTATGCTTCTGTTAACACATTTACTGCTGAAACCTATAGAGTCAGTTGAAATGAAAACACCTTTTTTGTGTGTGTGGCAGCTCTGGGTTTACTCCAGCAAAAACAAGGGCATCTCCTGGCTGAAAAGCAGCACTTACTGAAGGATTCCCTTTGTAGCTGGTCATCATGGTGAAAGGCCAACATATTAACTATTAAGGATTCCTCATAAATCAAAAATACCAAAGAGACAGTTATTGCAATTCCCTTGAATGTAAGAGGAGGAGGAGATCAACAGCAAAAAGTATCTTACAGTAAAATAGTTTAGAAATAAATCAATTAGGAGTTGACTGGGGATTTTTGTTCTGCTCAAGGAATTGAAGGATAGGGTTAAAGCAGTTGAAAAGCACAGCTGGAGGCAGACATCTTGCAATGGTGCTTACACTGATCTGGTGATGTACTTCACTTTTCACCTGCTGCAGCACATTGTCCCATACGCCACTCTGCTAAAGCACCTCCTGCTGTCCTAGTCCTGGGTCTCCATCCAGCTCTGCCAAAGCACCTCAACTCTCAACATGCAAAACTTCCTTTTATTACATTC